TTTGACTGGTCGGGCTCCGGGTGGGTGACTGTTCGGGCTCCAGGTGGGTGTCTGTCCAGCTTCGGGTGGGTTCTTGGTAGGGCTTGGGGTGGGTTCTTGGTAGGTATTAGGGCTGGGTTCTTGGTAGGGCTTGGGGGTGGGTTTTGGTAGGGCTTGGGGGGTGGGTTCTCGGTAGGGCTTGGGGGTGGGTTCTCGGTAGGGCTTGGGGGGTGGGTTCTCGGTAGGGCTCGGGGTGGGCTCTTTCGGGATCGGGATAGGCTCTCGGGCTTGGGGAACCTCTGTAGGGCTCGGGGTAGGTTCTTGGTCGGGCTCAGGGTGGGTTCTTGGTAGGGCTCGGGGCGGGCTCCAGGTACTCAACTGACGGGTTCCAGTTCACTCAACTGGCGGGCTCCGGTTCACTCAACTGGCGGGCTCCGGTTTACTAAACTGGCGGGCTCCGGGTGTTTGACTGGTCGGGCTCCGGGTGGGTGACTGTTCGGGCTCCAGGTGGGTGTCTGTCCAGCTTCGGGTGGGTTCTTGGTAGGGCTTGGGGTGGGTTCTTGGTAGGTATTAGGGCTGGGTTCTTGGTAGGGCTTGGGGGTGGGTTCTTGGTAGGGCTTGGGGGTGGGTTCTTGGTAGGGTTTTGGGGTTGGCTCCCGGTCAGGCTCGGGGTGGGCTCTTTCGGGATCGGGATAGGCTCTCGGGCTTGGGGAACCTCTGTAGGGCTCGGGGTAGGTTCTTGGTCGGGCTCAGGGTGGGTTCTCGGTAGGGCTCGGGGCAGGCTCCAGGTACTCAACTGACGGGTTCCAGTTCACTCAACTGGCGGGCTCCGGTTCACTCAACTGGCGGGCTCCGGTTTACTAAACTGGCGGGCTCCGGGTGTTTGACTGGTCGGGCTCCGGGTGGGTGACTGTTCGGGCTCCAGGTGGGTGTCTGTCCAGCTTCGGGTGGGTTCTTGGTAGGGCTTGGGGTGGGTTCTTGGTAGGGCTATTAGGGCTGGGTTCTTGGTAGGGCTTGGGGGTGGGTTTTGGTAGGGCTTGGGGGGTGGGTTTTGGTAGGGCTTGGGGGGTGGGTTCTCGGTAGGGCTTGGTGGGTGGGTTCTCGGTAGGGCTCGGGGTGGGCTCTTTCGGGATCGGGATAGGCTCTCGGGCTTGGGGAACCTCTGTAGGGCTCAGGGTAGGTTCTTGGTCGGGCTCAGGGTGGGTTCTCGGTAGGGCTCGGGGCGGGCTCCAGGTACTCAACTGACGGGTTCCAGTTCACTCAACTGGCGGGCTCCGGTTCACTCAACTGGCGGGCTCCGGTTTACTAAACTGGCGGGCTCCGGGTGTTTGACTGGTCGGGCTCCGGGTGGGTGACTGTTCGGGCTCCAGGTGGGTGTCTGTCCAGCTTCGGGTGGGTTCTTGGTAGGGCTTGGGGTGGGTTCTTGGTAGGTATTAGGGCTGGGTTCTTGGTAGGGCTTGGGGGTGGGTTCTTGGTAGGGCTTGGGGGTGGGTTCTTGGTAGGGTTTGGGGTTGGCTCCCGGTCAGGCTCGGGGTGGGCTCTTTCGGGATCGGGATAGGCTCTCGGGCTTGGGGAACCTCTGTAGGGCTCGGGGTAGGTTCTTGGTCGGGCTCAGGGTGGGTTCTCGGTAGGGCTCGGGGCAGGCTCCAGGTACTCAACTGACGGGTTCCAGTTCACTCAACTGGCGGGCTCCGGTTCACTCAACTGGCGGGCTCCGGTTTACTAAACTGGCGGGCTCCGGGTGTTTGACTGGTCGGGCTCCGGGTGGGTGACTGTTCGGGCTCCAGGTGGGTGTCTGTCCGGCTTCGGGTGGGTTCTTGGTAGGGCTTGGGGTGGGTTCTTGGTAGGTATTGGGGCTGGGTTCTCGGTAGGGCTTTGGGCTGGGTTCTCGGTAGGGCTTGGGGCTGGGTTCTCGGTAAGGGCTTGGGGCTGGGTTCTTGGTAGGGTTTGGGGGGTGGGTTCTCGGTAGGGCTTGGGGGGTGGGTTCTCGGTAGCGCTTGGGGGGGTGGGTTCTCGGTAGGGCTTGGGGGGTGGGTTCTCGGTAGGGCTTGGGGGGGTGGGTTCTCGGTTTTCTCGGTAGGGCTTGGGGGGTGGGTTCTCGGTAGGGCTTGGGGGGTGGGTTCTCGGTAGGGCTTGGGGGGTGTGTTCTCGGTAGGGCTTGGGGGGGTGGGTTCTCGGTAGAGCTTGGGGGGGGGTGGGTTCTCGGTAGGGCTTGGGGGGGTGGGTTCTCGGTAGGGCTTGGGGGGGTGGGTTCTCGGTAGGGCTTGGTGGGTGGGTTCTCGGTAGGGGTCGGGGTGGGCTCTTTCGGGATCGGGATTGGCTCTCGGGCTTAAGGAACCTCTGTAGAGCTCGGGGTAGGTTCTTGGTCGGGCTCAGGGTGGGTTCTCGGTAGGGCTCGGGGCGGGCTCCAGGTACTCAACTGACGGGTTCCAGTTCACTCAACTGGCGGGCTCCGGTTCACTCAACTGGCGGGCTCCGGTTTACTAAACTGGCGGGCTCCGGGTGGGTGACTGTTCAATTGTTTGATATGGCTCCATAGTTGGTTTCTTGGGCAAGTGGAGGGTTTTAGGTAGCACTAAGAAGATTTTTGTTTGGTCGAGCTAGAAATGGAGTTTGGTTGTGCTTTGGGACTGTTTAGCTTTGTAGGGGTTGTATGAGATGTATACCTGCTAGGCTTAAGGTTAGACAACTGGTCGGGGTCCGGTTACACAACTGGTCGAGCTTTGGTTACACAACTGGTCGGGCTCCGGTTACATAACTGGTCGGGCTCCGGGGGTGTCACTGGGGCTTCGGGTTGTGCATAGTCGGGCTTTGGTTCAAGCATGGTTGTGATCCAGAGGTTGTTTGGTTCGTTCATGCTAGGTTTGCAGTTACACAACTGGTCGGGGTCCGGTTACACAACTGGTGGGCTCCGATTACACAACTGGTCGGGCTCCGGTTAAATAACTGGTCGGGCTCCGGGGGTGTCATTTGGGCTTTGAGTTGTGCATGGTCGGGCTTCCGTTCGTGCATGGTTGTAATCCAGAGGTTGTTTGAATGGTTTGTTCATGCTAGGCTTGCGGGTAGACAACTGGTCGGGCTCCGGTTTCACAACTTGTCGGGTTCAGATTACATAACACCAGGGGTTTGACGTGTTGGGCTTTGGGTTGTGCATGGTTGTGCTCCGGGTCGTACATGGTTGTGCTCTGGTTCGTACATGGTTGTGCTCCATTGGTTGTTTGTGTACTAGTGCTCCAGGTTTGTTTGCAAGGGCTCTATGTTTATATGTTTGCTAGAAATTCGAGTTTCTTTCTTTTTGTATATAGTTCAATTGTTTGCTATGGCTCCATAGTTGGTTTCTTGGGCAAGTCTCCGTGGTGTAGTGGTAAGACACTCGCCTGGCGTTGCGAGCGCTTTGTCATGGGTTCGTATCCTGGCCGGGGAGGATTTACTGGGCGCAATTCCTTAACTGTAGCCTCTGTTTAACGCAACAGTAAAATGTGTACTTGGATGAAAAAACGATTCTTCGCGGCAGGGGATCGTATTCCAGGGACCATAGGATTAAGGACTTGCCCGAAACGCTACGCGTACTAGTGGCTGTACAAGAATGTAACAACTCTTGTATATATCTCAAAAAAAATAAAGCTCGTTTGGTCGAGCTAGGAATGGAGTTTGGTTGTGCTTTGGGACTGTTTAGCTTGGTGGGGGTTGGCTGAGATGTATATACACTTTCACCAGAGGTGGTGTCCCTTTTAGGTTAAAAAAAAATATATATTATATATTAATATTAATAAAACAATTAACATCGTGTAGTGTACTCTATATATCAAAATATATTACTTTTAAACGCGTATCAGTCACTAAACAAAAAATTGGGCTACTCTTATTACAAATTCGCTATTTTTAGACTGTCAGCTTGCTACTTTCAGCAATTTGTATCTGACAACCCTGGTAAGTGGGAGTGTAAGCGTTGTGTTGTGAGGGATGTGAACTAGTGGGAGTGTAAGCGTTGTGTTGTGAGGGATGTGAAGGAGGCCGTGTTGTGCTGCCAGCCGGAGACACGTTCTCCTCTACTTCGAAGTTATTCGGTTTTATTATTTTGGTTCAGGTACATCTTTTTGTACAGTCGCAAGTGTTTCAGATTAGCAGGAAAATGTGGACGAGAAGGAAAGGGCTAATGTTGACCATTTGGGCTAATTGGCTGGCTTATATTTTGTTGTGCACACCATCGACTCAGACCCGGCGTTATTTTTGGTTTATTTATTTATGTATATACAAGAGTTCTTGCATTCTTGTACAGCCACTAGCATGCATAGCGTTTTGGGCAAGTAATTAATCCTAATTTTCCTCTGGAGTACGATCTGCCAAATCGTTTTAACAACCAGGTACCCATTTTACTATTGGGTGAACAGAGGCTACAGTTAAGGATTGGTGCCCGGTCAATCCTCCCCAGCTAGGATGTGAACCCAGGTCAAAGCGCTTGTGAAACACCAGACGAGTGTGTTACCACTTTGCCACGGGGACTGCTGTATTTATAATTTTTACAAGCGAATTATGCCCACTGGGTAAGGTGGGACCGTATTCTTGTCACCCATCCAGTTACTGGCTAGAGTCAATGGTGCTTAACCCATGGCGAGATATATAATAATAACTTTTATGTTCAAATACCCATAAATCCGAAAAACACTGAAATTCTTTACAAAAAATTCAGGCACGATTGTCACTAGGCGGGAGGCACTGGTAAACTGAGGCATGGTCGCTGTATCACCATGCGCTAGGTCGGCCATATGCATATCAACTTCGTATCACAAGTTAAAATTTGTAACCCGATTCGGATTTTACAAAGAAATTGGGCTCGTAACCCAAAAAGTCCATAAAGAGGGACATTTACAAGCCGAGGTGTCACTGTACTGTACAGTATATGCAATTTCATAACATTACATTATTCACAACATTTTATTATTACTTGTAAAAGTTGTATATTTTTGTATGCAGATTTGTGTTCTTAAATGCAAGAATTTATATACTTATGTACATTGCAGGACACAGGGATGGGGAATTCTGTGTCGGCTGCCCACAGCACGGCAACATCTCTCACCAGCATGGCAGTTGGTGGTGGTGGCGGCGGCAGCAGTAGTGTTACATTTAGTGCCTCAGAACTGCCCCAAAATCATCCTACCTTAGAAAAGCAATGCCATGATGCTCTTCCAACTGCCTGCCCTATGCACAACAAGATTACCGAGGCCACCAAAGAAACTTCAGAAAAACACGATAGAGGAAGTATGGAACCATCGGCTGCACAAGCCCACTACATTCCCCCTGGAACACTCATACCTTCAGAATGTCCTATGCACCAAGCAAATAAAGAACAATCACCACAGGTGCAGTATTAAAGTTATTTTTATTAAGATTTTTCCTACTGGTGACATGATTTGAGTAAATAAGAAAAAATGTTTTCCTAACCATGTTTTTATATAAAAAAAAAGATTAAATCAACATGCAACTAAGTAATTTTAGAGACAATGTTTGCTTGTAAAATGTAAATTTTTTAAATAATAGATAACATTAAATGTCTCATTTGAAATAGAATGGGTTTTATTTAATTTGTGTTGCAGTTTGTTTGCATTTTCCTTTGTGCTTCACGATTATGCTTTATGCCAGCCACATTACATTTATCCTAGCTTTACATTTTGCTCTGACTAGGGCCAGTGTTACCTTTCCTGGGATTGGTATGCATTTCCATGTGTCCAACCCGAGATACCTTCTCTAAGGGAATATTGACTTCCTCTCGTGTGAATTGGCTCTCCTAGTCACCTTGCTTATGAGTAGTGCATGGAAATTTTTTCCCAGCAGGGTCTATTTGTGTGGAGAAATGATCTTTTTGACTACTTGTGCATATTTAAAAAAAAAAAAGCCTGCATATTATGCTCAGTTTTACTGCTGATATTCATTGGAGTCTTACACTTAAAATGGGTGGGGGGTACTTGGATTATGCAAGTGATTTAGGCATTTCTTGGAGTGCCATTTCATTAGCTTCTGAACTGAGCACTGTTCCAGCCATGTCTTAAGGAGATGCTCTAGACCTCCAAGATGCACCCGCTTGTGTACCAGCTTAAATAGCTAGTTTCCCCTTGTCTTCGCAGGTTTTTATTTGGCATGGTTGGGTTGTTATGACTTTCCTGGCGAACTACATGCCTGGTACTGTAATGTAGTTTTCAGTTTTTCAGGATGTGATTTGGTGCCGATGATCTTTCCTGTTTTCATCATTTTGTTGGATGAAGGATTCTTTCCACCTGTATTTTGGCTGAGCTGGTTTATTAGGCTGCAGCCATTTTGTGTGACTATTCTTTGTGGTACCTGTTGATGTTAACCCTGCCTGTTTTTAGTGGCTTTCTTGCCAATACCCTACTGTTTTACAAGGAGGATTTTGAGCATCTTAGACATTTCAGCAAGTTTCTGCCAGTTTTTGCTGCAACTGTCAAGTGGTCAGTTCATTCGACATCTTGGCTAATGCTGGGGTTTGGATCCCTAGGTGACAACAGGTTGCACAGCTACTGGCATTGTTGGACTAGGGATGCAAGAAGCAGCTTTAAGGGGCCCATCTATCGGGTTTTGTTAAATATGGTCTCCACGTCTGATTTCCCTTGTCTCGTCTTCTCATAAGATTGACCTGTCTGCCAAGACTTGCTTTAGTGCCTGCTCCAAAACTGAAACTGAGTGAAGTTAATAAAATAAGGAGTCAAAATGGCCTGTGGGAGTGAAGTTGAACTTTCATCATATTTGTTCCTGAACTACTCTTCACTCCAAGGAATTCACGTTTAGCAAGTTTGCTGTATATCAAAATGTACTTTCACTCTAAATAAAATTTGGACACTATAGTTATTTTAAGTTTAATAGCAGTACATATTAATGAATTGTCTTTTAAGTATTCATGTTGCTAAACAGTTTAATGACTTCATCCTTTCCCTTTAAAACTCAGGCATTCCCCTCTGAATGTCCAATGAGCGCAGGTGAAGGTAAAGATTGGCCCAAACATCAGGAAGGTGTACACTTTGGAAAGGAATATGCTGGGAAGTATGTGGGCATCAACCCACTCAACATGGAAGGCTATCCTAACCAAAAACCTTCTCCAGACCAACCATTTGAGCTGCCAACTGAAAGGCAGGTAAGCTATTTTTCCCCCCCTTTATTTCCCAAAGCTAGAGATTGCTTTCAAATCCATAGGAAGTTATTATTTTGACTAGTATTTTGTAATTTAGCATTATATCTAACATTCATGAATACATATATATTTTTCTTGATACATAATAGATGAATGATTTCAACATTGGTTTTTGCCAGAGTGTTTCTAGCAGCTGGGTAAATAAGATTTTAAGGTCAGCATTAATATCTGTTGTGGAGTAAGTTGAGGATTTGCTAACAAGTTAACATGATGTATATTGTATAGTACCATTAGGGGAAAATAATTCACTGTGTTAGGGGACAGGAAGCCTGAGTGTTTTCATTCACGTTTGGCTTTTATCGAGGCCCGCCCCCCAACCAAGACCGAATTACTGACCCCGCCCTGGATGCAATCCCATAACAAGCTAACTCCTGTGTACCTACTCACTGATAGGTTACCAGAGGCATTAGGTTAAAAGAAATGTGCCTAACCATTTCTGTCCCGCCCGGGATTTGAACCCGGAATTCTCGATTGTTTGTCAGGAATGAACCCGACTGTACTACCGGGACCCCTAAGCTTTATGTTCGTGAATATGGGAAAGTTTAGAATAAAGTTGAGAAAAATTGCATTAAGGGTGATGAGGTGGTAATACTGATGGTTAAGATGATGAAGGCAGAGAAAGTTATAAGAATATAAGAAGAAACTAAGGATAGAGGAACCTGCAGAAGAGTTATTAGCCATACGAGGCCACTTCCTTACCCCAATCCTATCTAAAATCCTTATCCTGACTCCCCCGCCCCCCCTTTCCAAGTGCTATGAAGTTGTAATGGCTTGGCACTTTCCCCTGAAAATTAAAAAAAAAAAAACTACTTGTACCTTGTCTCCACTTGAAATAATCCCACTGTCTTGCATCCATTATATTTCCTGAAAACCTATTCCACAAATCTACAACCCAAAACCCTGTTTCCAAAAAGAGTATTTACCCATTGTTTTATTTGATCAATTTTGATTTATTGGTTCTATTTTCTGTTGATAGGTTTACCATGCTAGTAATATCGTCCCTTTACTCTTTGCTTTTATAAAGAAGGTAAATAAAGCTTTATCTTCATATCCGTTAGAAAACGTCATATGGAAGTTTTCTAATTTCTAGCACGTCATCAAGAATTATATAGGTTCCCAATTTTTAAATCCATGTTAGGACTTGCTCAACATATTCTATTATAATTTCTTTTATCTCATTTGGCTCTTTGCCATTGGAATTAATAACTGGTCAGTGGCAAATGTAACTTCTTTGCTAATTCACACATAAGCAAAGAAATAATGCGAGAGAGTATTCAACATGGTGTTTGTGTAATTTTTTAATGTTATTTAAGAGTATGTAATATACAACACAAATGTGCCTCATTGGATCCATATCCATTATTTCTTTGGCAGCTGTTTTTGTCATTAGAACATGCTTTCATACCATTCTCAAATATTTCTTGCAATTCCAAGACAGAATTTGTTACATCATCTTAAATATTGCTAACACAGTATCTTTCCTCATAATTACATGGTTACTATATTTATCATCACATTTGATAAAGGCAATGATAAATTTAATCACACAGTAGAGTGATTTATCATCACTCTACTGCTGCCCCCCCATAGCATGATTTTCACACTCACACACACGTCATCATTCATGGCAGGATTCACCTACCAGTTCTAGCATAAAATGTCGCATTGCCATTTAATCAGATTTTCTCACATGATTCTAGGTTATGTCTCGTGCATGTGTGAGTGTATTTGTCGAATCGTTATGCATATTTGTATCAATCATTTACTCAAGTTCATGCAAGTTAGGATGTCAGCCTACATGCATATATTCCTCAGCGGGAAATCCTCCAGGAGTCTTCTCACTGGATGTGCCACTGTATTCACCTAGTTGTATTCACCTAGTTGTGCTTGCGGGGGTTGAGCTCTGCTCTTTCGGCCCGCCTCTCGACTATGAATCAACTGTTTCTAACTACTATACTTTTTTTTCCCCCCACACCACACACACACACACACACACACTAGGAAGCAGCCCATGACAGCTGACTAACCCAGGTACCTATTTACTGCTAGGTAACAAGGGCTTCAGGGTGAAAGAAACTGCCCATTGTTTCTCGCCGGCGCTGGGAATCGAACCCGGGACCACAGGATCACGCGTCCAGCGTACTGTCCAGTCAGCCACCGGACACAAAGACACACTGTGTGCCTTTGAAAGGGGTTTTAGTCCTATGGGGTCAATACCAGCGTACGGGTCTCGGGCAATCTTCAACTAAATCTGTCTAGTATTTACAGAATATGAAAGCACCCATATTGAATTAGGATAGTGCGAAGAAATAGTCATGTTCCACGTGTTGCATTAGTGTTCTGTTTTATTTATTTTAATATGCATATTTTTTCAGGTTTCAACAATACCCAAAGCTGGTTCAGAAAATGAGAATTGGGTGTATCCGTCTCCACAGATGTTTTGGAATGCCATGCTGAAAAAGGGCTGGAGATGGAAAGATGATGACCTCTCTCAGAAAGACATGGATAGCATCATCCGTATCCATAATGTCAATAATGAGTTGGCATGGCAAGAGGTAAGAGTGAATGCCTTTAAATAGCTTCAGTTATATAATAATGCTGTGCGGAACTTGAATAGATATACTGTACTCACTAGATATACTGTACTTGAATAGATACACTGCACTCCTACTCAAATGTAGCACAATCCTCTGCCTTGCTGTTTGCAGTGGAAACTTTAACAATGGGGAAAATACTGGTTGGTGTTGATCAGAAATTACTGTATTGTGAATGTTTCAGTCAATCTGGCAGGTATATTTATGGACCGGATATCATAATTACAGTATGTATACCATATATATATGAGATAAATGAATATGCTAAATTACTGCTATTTGTCATGCCCCTCCCAGTACCACTCGAGTACATATTACAAAAATAATAAACAACAATTTAAATAATAGTTTAAAATTATTTGCTGTAATGTATGGTTATATTAACTGTGACCTTCCCCCCCTCCCCCTAAGTCAACACGACACGACCTTAGTTTTAGGTACCGAGTGCAATACCATACTGTGGAACCACCAGGCTGTGAAGTAATTTTCCAGCCACATGAGGTCAAGTATCCTGATTAGTTGTTTTGCTTCCTGAAACAGGCAGGGAGTATGTAAATGTGAGCAAATTATTTCTATATCAGGTGGGGGGAAAAAATAGCCTTTAAAATTTTATAATATTTCAAAAGTGAGAATTAAAACAAATAATGAATGAAAAGTGGAGTATCAAAATGATTATAAACAGTTTGTTGAGCTGCTTTTATCATGAAAAATAACTATTTACATAGAAATGTATCATTGTTTCCTCTATCTTTTGTATAAAAAAAGCATGTTATATGGCTAATGTTTATACTGTAACGTGTACAACTAACGAATAAACCAGGGCCAGTCCAACATCAGACGGAGATGACACTGCAGGTGGAGCAGAGCCACAGGTGGCAGGGAAAGGGAAGGCAATCAGGAACCCACACCAGGCATAACCAGGTGCAAACCCAGATCGGAACCAACTGGGACTATCGCCAAATCACCAGAACCCCGAACCCGGTATGCTGGAAAACGACCAGATCTCAGACTTCAACATGTGTACTAGCTGGGAGCCCAAATTAGCCAGATTTTGTGATAAGTCAAGTCACAAACCCCCAAAAGATGTAGCCAGGTCATAACTACCTGCATTAGCCTGGTAAAGACCCGAGGAGCCCGAGTCAAGTTGTAATTAAGAACTTTGAAGTGGTAAGCCTGAAGCCCAACAAGAAACCCTAACTTGTTGCTGAACCTTGAATGAAAAGGAATGTGCCAATATGCATCCCTGAGGTCCAGGAACAATATCCAGGAATCCACCTGCAACACCAGGTGAACCTGAGCAAATGCTGTTATGAGAAAGTTCAGAGCGAAACTGCAAACCCTAGAGGTATAGTATTTACCATTGGACTGCCAAGTCCTTCTTGGCAACTGGGAACAACTGGGACACCAACCATAAGGAGATGGTGAACACAATGATGCCAGCAGTGGAATAAGGCATGATGACCGCACAAAGTTGAGGGGAGGACCCCTGAAGATAAAGATGGGAGAGTGAACCACCACCACCCGAGACCCCAGGAAAGCACCAATAAGGCCCACAAATCGCAGGACTGAGAACTTGCCTATGTTCCCTCCATGTGCCATCAAAGGGACAAACCTCAGGAGCAATGTGAAAACCCTTGAGAGGAAGCACTGAGAATAATGCCAAGGAGAAAAGGCAAAGATAAGAGGAAGGGTTCTTGCTCGAGAAGCAGACTCCACTAGGGGCCTATCGGACAAACCACAGACAAGGCTCCAAGTAAGAGACATAATCTCCCTGCACCAGAACACATCAAGGGGCAGCAAGGCAGCGGTTGCAACTGAAAGTATCAAAGAGACAGTCTCTACAAAAATAGACAAAAGTGGGAAGATCAACACAAGGGTAGGGGACAAATCCAAGTTAAAAAGCCTGGGTAAACATGGACTGTTGCAACATGAGACTGGTCAGAAAAGTTCACCACCACCTACCTTCCAGAGAAGGGAAGCAAGCAACCTGGACAAAGCCTACAAAATTGGAAAAAGGAAATAGGCTAGTAATGCCCAGCACCAAAGCCAAAACATCCAGGCCCTTCCGAATTTGATTAGAGGATAGCTCAAACACAGGCCTTGTGATCATACTGAGAGCCAAGTGTTCATAGCTCCCATGAAGCTCTGCATCCTTGGCTACAGAAGGCCAAGGCATCTGCCTGCAGGAAGGAGCCTATCTCTTACTTTAAGTGCCTGGGTACAGCAAAGGCCGTGTCAAACCCCAACGAAAACAAAGGGTTGTCACAAGTCATGAAAATCAGGAATCCTATAATGCAACCACAAGGCCAAAGCTGACCCAAACCCAAAAGAAGTCAGGCCCATGAGGGATGAACTCCTGTACCCACTGGAGGATCCAAAAATGACTGACAACTAAAAAGGCAGGAAGTTCTTTAATTCACTTGAAGCATTCACAGAAATTTTAAATCGTACACAATGAAAAAGACCCTCGCAGGACAGTCTGAATGATGGCCCACACTAGTTCAGAAATTGGAACCCACAAGCTGGTAACTCCACACAGGTGGACATCAGTGACAGGACTAAGCTCTGTTGGTATGGGGAGCTAGAGTTCCCAGTGGTACTGCCATCTGCCATTGGCAGCCTCTTATGAATTGTGTGAGGCTCACTCCCTCCTGGAGCCTCTATGAAGGGTGGGGGGGGGGGGGGGACCAGGTTCTGGCTCTCGTCTCCGGTAGGTCATATGGACCCCTAGGGCCGGAGCTACATTAGCATGTTAGGGGCAGGGAACAAACATTTGGGCCCCTTCCCTCCCTCCCTACAAAAAATAGTTCTTTTTTAATGTAATCCATTTTCCCTTACATATGACTAGCAGTCTTGTATCAGATTCTTAAGCTCATCCACTTGCACAGAAAACCACTTAGGACAGAAAAGACGTTTACATCTTACTTAACTATATTTTTCTTTCAGGTGTTGAAGTGGGAATCGCTCCACAAGAAAGAGTGTGGGAATCCTAAACTGAAACGATTTGGTGGAAAGGCATCAGATTATTCTCCAAGGGCACGCATCAGAAGCTGGATGGGGTGAGGTTCTTGAGTGGTATTGTTTATCTTACAATTCGCTTCTTCAAAATTGTTTCTAAAATTTGTATTGTATGAGGCAACTGAGGGAAGGTAAGACAGTAAAGGAGTATGTTTGGGTGCGTTAGATGAAGAGCAGTCAGAAATGTGTTGATCGTGGTATGTAAAGGATGTCTGTAAACTCTCCTGCATACACAGCATGTATATTGAATAAAATATCAGGGGGTTGAAAAGACAAAAGTTTATCTTGTCACGACAAATCTTAATTATTGGAAACAAATTGAAAACTTGATAAAAAATGTAGCATTCTGAGCCATGGAGGTGGAAACAGTAGAATGCAGATGATCGCCGAGATGAGAGAAAAGGGTGATGAAACGGTGTAATGAGCACCTTTTCTTGCTTCTTCCCTCTCGACCCATATATTTATTGGCATCCCTCTTCAAAGCTTCCACAGCTTGTAAGAGGGACAAGGTAGAAGTGTGACTGTAAAATTGGTTTAAAAGCATCAATAATAGTACAATGAGGCGATGATGAGTCTGCCTAGAGATGGTGACGATATCAGGGAAATGTGGAGGATAGGTCTGGAAGTGCCAAAAGCATCTGGAGGAGATAACTCCTGGGGCATAATCAGTACCAAAAGAAGGCAAGTTTCAAGGCATTGCAACTATCAAGATGAAAAGACAGATCTGGAGTTCATGCCTCCTGGGAGCTCTTTATATCATTCTCTGTAGTGGAGGACTACAATATTTGCATGAAAATTGCCTTGGTAAACCATGAAAAAGTATCCAGTATCATTAAAAAATTTTGAGTATTTGAAAATTCTATAGTATTCCACAGTTAATCAGAGCACGAGATGCTGGCAGTGATGTAGATATCATGTTTACTCTCCTGTAACTGAAGCAGACATCTATAGTGGAGATGAAGTTTTGTGTGTAATAGCCTTTGGTCACAATTATTATTGGGTAGATTATGAGTTCTTTCAAAATAATTGATGGCACCCATATGGCAATACTTTCCAAGACTAGTTCACTTCATGTTAAATGCTGTTCTCTATAATTGCAGTATTTACTTTCAGAGCTAGACAATATTCACGGATCTTATTGCTTACATAGAAGCCATAAAGCCCCCGAATAACTGGGATTGCCTTCTAGAACTTGGACTGAACAAAGGCAAGATTTCATAATCTATTCACATAAAAATATTTGACTAGACTCCTAATCTGTCCACTAAAATATCATACATGAAGTAGAATTGCTATAACCTCAATTAGAGAATACTTTGTCAACATCCATAGTTTAAGACTTTAATTAAACGTCTCTCAACGTTTGCGAGAAATATTGCTGGACCAAATTTAGAAGAATACTAGATGAAACAATACATTCCTTTGGGTATGCTAAATCAGCAGTTTTGATGGCTTTAGGATCCCTAAGTCCCTTGGTCCCTATGGTCTTCTAAAACATTAATAGCCTGGCTAACAAAGCAGTCACCAGGGAAGCCTGACCAGAGGTTGGGCTACAAGAGTAATATAAACTTTGAACTGACACAGGCATACTATTATCAAGGGAAACGTGCTATGATTCATTTAGATTCTCTTATTTAAATACTGTAACATTAAAAAAAATTTGACATTCTGAAAGATTTATCATATATTTTTCCACAGGTACGAATTGCCTTTTGACCGTCATGATTGGATTGTTGATCGGTGTGGTAAGGATGTGCGATATATTATTGACTACTATGATGGTGGAGCAGTTAATCCCAATGACTACAAATTTGCCATCTTAGATGTTCGACCCGCTATGGACTCGTTTGAAAATATCTGGGACAGAATGGTGGTTGCATGGTGGCGATGGACCAGGAGTAATGATTAATATTTTTAACAAGTAAAAATGGTGTTTTAATATGTAGATATTGTAATTAAATATTTGTACTCCATAATCATTTCTAGCACAGCGGTCAATGTCCTCAGTTCATAATCAACAAACCTGGGTTTAATCCCCTGGCAGGATAGAAAAATTTCCTTTCACTCAATGTGTTTGTTCACCTAGTTGGCCTAGAGATCTTGATTAACCTAAATAAAGGTTTCCTGTCCTCAACAACGGAGAAAATAAAATATGCCGGTTACTGTATTATACAAATGTTAAAATTAGAATATGTACCAATATTTCATGTTTTGGTACCAATTAGGTTTTTTATTTTTTTTTGGGTGATTACTAACTGTAATCATTTACTTTGATAAAATACTTTTCTGACTATGAAGAGAAGATAATGCTTATTTTCCCTTATTTGGAAAGTACTGTACTGAAATAACTGGGATTGCCTTCTAGAACTTTGACTGGACAAGGGCAAGATTTTATAATCTCTTCATATAAAAATATTTGACCAAGATTCCTAATCTGTCCACTAAAATATCATTCTTAAAGTAGTGTTGTTATAACCACAATAAGAGAATACTTTGTCAACATCCATTCAACAGATTTTGGAAAATAAATGAGCAAACAACCACTGTATGCAAGTAGCACAGGCTCAAGTGTGTGTAGTTTACACAGATGTGTTGGTGTGCTCTAAACAACTTTGTTGTTTAATTGTAAATCTGTACAAAACTAAGATTAAAGAAAATATAAATTTTGTTTATCATTTATTCCTGCATCTTTATTTTTTATGGTGTTTTTTGTTGCAATTTGACTTTGTTTTGTTGACAAAGGACAGGGAATTATTGCTTGCTTATTCACCACATAAGTCTTTTATGCAGATGTAGTACATATTTGTGCATTTTCAAAATGTGTACAGTATAGAAATGTTTGATCTTCAGGTTATGGGCTCTTCCCCACAACCAAGGTCAGCCCCTCATTCCAGCTCTTCATACAACTATGCATTAGCTATTAATACATTAACATTGAAGTGTGAAGAGCTTTATACAATTCTTCTTGCAGAAAATTTCTTTGGTTTCAGTTGCTGTTCATTTTCTTCACTTGTCTATTTTTGGGGAAAGAAGCTGGATGCCCAGTACTATGCATCTTACAAAGTTGCTCTGTGTTGCATCCTGTCCTCAGGTGGTATGTTCCTTTAAAGGTAATCACGTCAACACACTACATAATTAGTGATTTTATGTACTTTATTATCCTTTGTCAGGCTAGGTTAGCTTAGGTTAAGCCAGTGTATTGCATTCTTAAACATGTTTACCATTGTGATCATTGCTGGCTTATGTGCGCTATCAATTTGCTATATGGTGCCTATTAATCTTGTCTAAATTACCAATCAAGTTGTCAATGCAATTAATCAGAGCTACCAATGTGCTTTAATATACTTACTAATCTCTCCCATCTCATTTTTCTTTTTTCTTGCAATGTATGTTATTTTATTAATTCTGCTTGAATTCACCTATGTAGCGAGTAATCTTTATACTCGCTCCATTATCTCATTATCTTAATGGCGTAACTAATTAGCACTAACTACACAAGCTATAATCCTATCCCTAATTACAGGTAACAGTTCTCACATCCTCCTATCCTAGTAGAGAAAGGTGAGGGGTAGTCACCAAATATAAAGAAGCGATATGAGAATAGACTACGGTACAATTTCCAGTTAAGAATGTAGCACTCGGCGTAGGCAGTTCTAATCGTCTCCAAGACGATACAGCTTCGACACAGAACAGGCAGCAGACTAGGACCGCATCCAGCTACAACCCTCTCCCACAGAGCTCCACGACTCCGGTCACACTCAATAAATACTACTAAATAAATATGAAACTCACTAAACACTGTGTATCTAATCTACCCAACAACGTAACATAATCGTACGTTACACCTTAAAATTATCTGTTAGATTAAGGACCTTTGCAGTCTCCGTGGTGTAGTGGTAAGACACTCGCCTGGCGTTCCGCGAGCGCTATGTCATGGGTTCGTATCCTGGCCGGGGAGGATTTACTGGGCGCAATTCCTTAACTGTAGCCTCTGTTTAACGCAACAGTAAAATGTGTACTTGGATGAAAAAACGATTCTTCGCGGCAGGGGATCGTATTCCAGGGACCATAGGATTAAGGACTTGCCCGAAACGCTACGCGTACTAGTGGCTGTACAAGAATGTAACAACTCTTGTATATATCTCTCAAAAAAGACCTGCCCAAAACGCTGCGCGTACTAGTGGTTTTACAAGATTGTAAATGCCATGCTTATGTATCCTCACAAACCCAATGTACCTTCTTGTATATAAATAAATAAAATCAAATAAAATAAAAGATGTGAAACATGAAAGTCCGGCCTGTTTGAGTATATCCTCGAATTTGATACTAAAGAAAACCTCAATCTCAGGGCTTAAGAAAATGAGTATACTGTACTACATATTCGATCTTTTTTAAAGACAAGGATATATACTAAAATAGTTATATCGTGGAGAATAATGTGTTTATGATAAGGGTTCACTTTCCAGTTTACCAACAGATTATTGGATCCCCAATAAGCCTTCAAAGCATCATAAATATCTTGATAAGTATTCAAGTCTGGCCTGTTTGAGTATCCCCTAGAATTTGATATTAAAGAAAACCTCGATCTTAGCTCTTATGAAGAAAATGAGTATACTGTACTATACTTGCCCGAAACGCTACGCGTACTAGTGGCTTTAGGTATTGTATGTACTACCTCTATCTTTAAATCTAACAGAATGTTTGTACTGTAACGCTGCAACTATGTATGTACTGTTCCTAAATAAATTATTATTATTATTATAATTATTATTATTCAGCCCGAAACGCTGCGCGTACTAGTGGCTTTACAAGATTGTAAATACTATGCTATGTATTCTCACGAACCCAACGTACCTTCTTGTATATAAATAAATAAATAAATATTATTATTATTATTATTAAGTAGTTTAACGAGTGAGTCCACTCGGTATAATTGTCTGATGACACGCTCATATATCGTTAAATAGTATTGAGCTTGCACTTATAATGAAATTTGTGTCATTGGTAAATAATAGTGACTTTAGGTATTAGAAGGTCGTCGATGCAGGGCGGGATCGAGGATTTGGACCCTAGGAACAAAAAAACTAAATGGGCCCCACTGTCTGGTTATGGTGAGGCTATTCAAAGGTTAATAAACTCATGCATGTAGATAGCTGGAGAGCCCTAGACTATGGCCTACTTTGCCTATTGGGTAATACGTCCCTGCATTGATGACAGATGTATACATAAGAGGAAAGGGCTTAGACTTTAGTCTACTGCACTTTAGTCCACCAGCACGGGTAGACTTACGTTAAGTCCAGCACGGGTGGGACACGAACAAGGGGACACAGGTGGAAACTTAGTACCCAGATGAGCCACAGAGACGTTAGAAAGAATTTTTCAGTGTCAGAGTAGTTAATAAATGGAATGCACTAGGAAGTGATGTGGTGGAGGCTGACTCCATACACAGTTTCAAATGTAGAAATGATAGAGCCCATGTAGAAATGATAGAGCCCAGTAGGCTCAGGAATCTGTACACCAGTTGATTGACAGTTGAGAGGCGGGACCAAAGAGCCAAAGCTCAACCCCCACAAGCACAATTAGGCGAGTACTGGGAATGCAAGCAATTTTTTAAATATTTTGTTTCGTATTTAAATAACTATTATAATAGACACATATAAAGGAACATATTCTCATAATAAACTTCACTGTACAAAGGAGTATTGTTGTTGATGATTTAGAGGCCGAGACGGCAGAGGTGCCGTGTACGCCCCCCGGCGTACCCTCAAATGGTAAATCGAAAATCCGTACGGCTAAATGATCGTTGCCTGTCGACGGAAACGACCGCGCCGTGTGGCGAATAAACACACCGATGAGCAGAGGACTGGGAAGCCCTGGGAGTCCCTCAGTGATGCAGGCACCGGGCCCCACCCCATACAGAGAACACTGGGTAAGGAAGGCAAAAGCACGACCCCCCCCCCCCCACCCCACCCTTCTACACTCTTATCCGGATGGATAAAAGCACAAAAATCATCCAGTGCCCTCCGACAGAGCAGGAGCCGGATGCCCACCACGCCCTTGAGGCACACCAAAACCCGCCAACTCACGGCATCTCTCTCGGTCAAGCCGGCGCCGGACAGTAGGCCACCCGAGGAACAAGCCAGAAAACGTATAAAATAGATTAACTTCGCCGTGACCCGATGAGCAGAGGTCACTTGCCCCGCTCCTGTGCCAGGTAAGTTACGGGCTCACCATAGCCCGTGCTACTTGGAACTTGTTCCGAGTAGCTGAATCTACAACAACAACAGCTGTGATCCCAAGTTACAGCCCCGCTCCTGTGCCAGGTAAGTCCACTACGGGCTCACCATAGCCCGGGCTACTAGGAACCTTTTGTTTAGAGTAGCTGAATCTAAAACAACAACAACCTGTTACCTAGGGCGACATGTGCGCCGGGCGTCGTAACAATTCGGACCGTTGAATGGGAATACCTCACGGCTGTATGGAGACCCAGTGGGTAAAATGTCGTTTTGTGTTCCGGCGGCCGCCAGGTGGAGCGGGTATCCAGATGAACCTCGATATAAGCTGTAGCGAGTAAACCTATACGCTCTCCATTATCTCATCATCTTAATGGCATAACTAATTACACAAGCTATAATCCTATCCCTATTTACAGGTAACGGTTTTTCCACCCTCCTATCTTACTGTGAGGTGTAGTAACCGTATATAAGCCAGCGATTTGAGAATAGCAAACCAGTACAATCTCCAGTCAAGAATGTAGTACTCGGTGTAGGCAGTTCTAATCGACCCAAGACGCTACAGCTTCGACACAGAGCAGACAGCAGACTACGACCTCATCCAGCTACAACGCTCTCCCACATAGAGCTCCGCGACTCCGGCCACACTCAGCTCTCTGCTCTGCTCCAGGCTTCGTCTCAACGTCTACGACACTGCTGTATCCAGGACTACTAAATAAATATGAAATTCACTAAACACTGTTTATCTAATCAACCCAACAACGTAACATAAACGTACGTTACAGTATAATTTCAGAATTTCTTGATGACTGTTCTGCACTAACCTAATTCCAAAGTGGTTCCTTGTGAGAATACTGTACTTAATTAATCTATGCAGGTCATGTGTAGGGAAAGGTCAAAGTGCCTTTCATAACATACGGCAACTGAGGGCTCCACATAGAATTTGTAAAGTAAAAAATCAGGTATTAGAGTTTTCACATCATTCCGTTTAGCTGTACACTTCTCCGTACTCAATATTATAAAAATAATGGTTACAAAAATTTCAGTGGAAAAAAGAAGCACTTGCACTTCCAAATTTATTTTAATGACACACAAAGCTGACCAAGATGATCCATAATACTGTATTTTGTAATTATAAACACCAATGCACACAGACCACATGAAGCTTGTCCACCATAAACATTACTATGCCTAACTCTGACAGTCAAACATTTTCACCGGCTCTTAGGAGCAGCTGACTGCAATAAACCCCCTTGAATTAGCAAGGAAACCATTGTTGTCATCAATATTAACACCTTATGCATATATTATATACAAGTAACCAACTCCCTCTTTGTGATCTTTGACATTATTATGTAAAAAATGATTAGAAACCTTTCACTGTCATACATAAGTGTAGATGGAGAAAAGTTGGATTTTAAACTGAAATTTTGATTGAATTTGAACTGAACAATTGATTGAAAATTTTGTGTCTAATGTACATTTGAACATCGTATGCTAGAGGCAGATACATGGCAGACTACTTTAACCGAGTCGTATTTTAAGGAAACGTTGCAGATTCAATTTGCATGTTAATCAGATTACAATTCCTCAAGTAATTGTTCAAGTAAAGTACAAATACTCGTCACTCAATAATCAACCCGTTCTCGCACTTTCGTATAGTCAATATTGACTTATTAAATACGTGCATATGTGACATACTAAACATACTAGTTTACCTTGAAAAGCTTCATAGAAAACACCGACCTTACCTAACCTTCTTAGTATGTTAAGATAAGCATCTTATTGCTTCGTAATTACAATTATTACTTAACCTATTATATGTATAAGTTAAGTAATAATTGTAATTACGTAGCAATAAGATGCTTATCTTAACATACTAAGAAGGCTATGCAGGCGATGAGTCACAATAACGTGGCTGAAGTACGTTGACCAGACCACACACTAGAAGGTGAAGAGACGACGACGTTTCGGTCCGTCCATGGAGAATGGTCCAGGACGGACCGAAACGTCGTCGTCCCTTCACACTCTAGTGCGTGGTCTGGTCAAAATAAGAAGGTTAGGTAAGGTCGGTGTTTTCTATGAAGCTTTTCAAGGTAAACTAGCATGTTTAGTATGTCACATATGCACGTATTTAATAAGTCAATATTGACTGTAAGAAAGTGCGAGAACGAGTTGCAATAATCACATGCATATTTATGCAGTACAGTATAAAATAAAGTTTGGCTAGATAATACTGGGAACACGGCCTCACTTGACCATATTCGTTACGTCCCTCAAATCTGAAAAATAAATAAAATATCCAACATGGAACTTTCTGACTTTTATCATAATATAAAAATTGAATATCTAGCAACCACTATCTCCTAGAGAGAAATGCTACCAGGTAACAGAACAATAAATACAGTACATATTTACAAATAAAGCATTACAACTTGAAAAAATAATTAACTTTTAATAACATGAGAAACTTTAAAGCTATAGTTCATACATTATCCATAAGTTATTACTGATACTAGCTTGCAGGTAACAAAAAAAAAAAAGTTATTTCCTAAAATGAGGGTAAATTTGCAAATGTAAATACTCTGAACTTTTATTACAAAATGATGAATATTTTTGTCATCTAAATTTGTACGGAAATTCATAAAAAATGCCGAGAAATATAAGCTAACATTATATATATATATATATATATATATATATATATATATATATATATATATATATATATATATATATATATATATATATATATATATATATATATGTCGTACCTAGTAGCCAGAACGCACTTCTCAGCCTAATATGCAAGGCCCGATTTGCCTAATAAGCCAAGTTTTCCCGAATTAATATGTATTCCATAATTTTTTTCTTATGAAATGATAAAGCTACCCATTTCATTATGTATGAGGTAAATTTTTTTTATTGGAGTTAAAATTAACGTAGATATATGACCAAACCTAACCAACCCTACCTAACGTAACCTAACCTATCTTAATAGGTTAGGTTAGGTTAGGTAGCCGAAAAAGTTAGGTTAGGTTAGGTTAGGTTAGGTAGGTTAGGTCGTCGAAAAACAATTAATTCATGAAAACTTGGCTTATTAGGCAAATCGGGCCTTGCATAGTAGGCTGAGAAGTGCGTTCTGGCTACTAGGTACGACATATATATATATATATATATATATATATATATATATATATATATATATATATATATATATATATATATAATTTCCTGCTGTATGGAATAGTACTGCCCCAGGTGAGGAATAACTTTGCTTCTTTAGGATAGAATGTAGGTTGTCTTAACTTTCGTCCCCGTAACAGGAAATTGAAGCACGCACAGAGCTTGAATTGGTTCTTAAAATCAAACTGATAAATATCAGAGCTGCAGGGACATGCACGATGCAACCTGCTAGTCTCTCAACGCAAAGATTCCTTCCTGTCTCGCTCGGTGTGTACTCATTCCTAACTCATCATGCTCATTTGCAAACGTCAGTATTGCGGGGCTCTTTATTTGACTAAAGTAACATAATAGTTCAGGGACCAGATTCACGAAGCAGTTACACAAGTACTTACGAACGTGTACATCTTTCCTCAATCTTTGACGGCTTTAGTTACATTTATTAAACAGTTTACAAGCATGAAAACTTCCCAATCAACTGTTGTTATTGTTATAAACAGCCTACTGGTGCTTCGGATTTCATTAACTGTTTAATAATTGTAAACAAAGCCGCCAAAGATTGAGAAAAGATGTACAGGTTCGTAAGTGCTTGCGTAACTGCTTCGTGAATCTGGCTCCAGGTCGATAGCATCAACACTACAATGCCAAAAGTGTGCGGACAGGATGGTAGTCGTGCCCCGACTCACAGATGCCCACGCATTAAGAGTGGGCACGTTTGCCCTTGCCTGACATACAGGAAAAAAGATCAGGTGACTTTCAAGTTGGTCAAGAATGTAAACTGGAACACTGTATTATATCAGTGTTTCTCAGTACCACTATATTTCCTTTAATTTATTATATCTAGACTGTTCCACATCTATTTGGCTGAATTCTGCACTTTTAAACAGAGCCCAATACCCTTCAGTGTATCTACAGTATGTTGTAGTAGTAGTAGTAGTAGTAGGGATCCTTCAGTCTATAGACTATGGAGTCGCGCCCTGACAGGGCGCAAAGCCTGGGTAGGTTGATATTGAGGAGAAGCCGTTACCCATGCAGCAGGTCCCCTCCACGTTGCTGTACACTTACAATATCTCGTAGATACACTGATGATCATAGTACTTAGTTCAACATCTTTCACTGTAATGTTTCTTAGAAGGATGAAATTTTTGGGGCTTTAAATTGTAATTTTTCATTTCACAATGAAAAATATGAATCATTACACTTGGGTGATATTCATGCATGGTGACGTATGGGTCTGGGTAAGGAAGTCTCTAGTCCACGTGTATTATTATATATAAAGTTTATACAAGTTTTCAAAATTGTATCTTCTCATTTTATCGTTTCTAAATCACCCATCTATATACCTTCATCACCCTTTCCCTTTTCCATTAAAAGAGTAAATTTAAAATTCAACCGGAACATATGGACCAAATAAGCATACATTTCCCACACTAGCATATTCTTCCTCTTAAATCCTGAGTCCAGCTTATCATTTGTATATCCCATCAGAATTGAACAATAATTGTCAAAATATTTTAAATGCTCTATAAAATCTATCTCACATATAGGCAGTTCATTGCCTTAGTTCTACTGCATATCTAAGACTCTCACACTCAAGCATTCAAGGAACTCCAACTCTAAGATGGCTTTATATCCAGAAGATTAGTCCTCATGGACCGCACACACACACACATCATCCACAAATATACCAGCAGTCGGCAAGTAACTGCCTGAAGGGTGTTCGGAGTAGACCTTGTCTATCCTCCACTCTTCAACTCTTGTACATGTCACAGAGGATCTTCTCCATGGGGGTGTTGCCGATGGTGGCGGTGAAGAACAGAGCCTGGACACGGGGTGGAGGAGGCGATCTGAGAGACGCCAGCAGGAGCAGAAGGCGACCGAACCGCGCGGGGCGTGCCGGGTAGTGGGCCCGCACGTGTTGGCTCAGCATCACCTGCGCCTGGTCCTGAAGCGACTCCACCTGCGCCGCGTCCTTCAGTCCTCGCACTGCCGGTGTGTACGGTGTGTCAGTGGTGGCTCAGGGACTCAGGGTATATGTCAGTTAATTATGATGGATCAAAGGCAGACGTACACTGCATGGAGGCTGAAGTGGACTAGTGGAGGTGCAGGTAAAGCGGTGAACAAGGGTATGTGAGAGCGTGGCGTGATGGTGAGTGAGATGCATGTCTGGAGGAAATGAAAGTTGAGGATGAAAACCGTCGTAGATAAATGTTTTCATTAAAAAAAATGATTCTAAATATAAAATTGTAAATTCTAAAAAACCTCACGATTTTTGCCAAGGATTAGGAAGCTTGTCACCCTATGGAAGAACCCATGAAGGATGGTTATTAAATATGGCAAACAAGCTTCTAATACAGTAGCCATTGTCTCTCAAATCAGATACCTCGTACCTCGCCCTGCCCTGGTAATGCTGTATTACTCGCTCATCTATCCTTACCTCACCTAAGACATCTGTGCCTGGGGGTTTACTACCCAAAATTATCAGCGACCCCTAATTACTCACAAGTTAGCAATTAGAACAATAACAAACTCAAGTCCCAGACAGCACTCGCCCCCTTACTTAAATTTTTGAAAATGTTTGCTATTATGTCACTACACACCCTCTTAGGTGGACCCTATGTATATCAAACTGAAGTGCAGTGCTAATCCTGATCTTAAGCGCTTCTTAGAGTACACTTGCCACAGAACTCATGGCCACCACACGAGAAACAAATATCTATTTGATATTCCAAGAGTGCGACTTAGTCAGAGCAGAAATGCCCTACAAATCAAAGGGTCCCAAACTGAGGAATGACCTCCCTAATCACATTAAAGACTGTTCCTCTCCTCTCAACCAGTTTAAAAGAGGAAACTAAGAACTACCTAATTAACTCTATGTAACCAACGAGAGGTATAACTTTACTTCCTAAATGTCAACGTGTGTTTTGTTGTTACTAAACATTAATTACTGAACAATTACTGTTACCGATAATTGCTGTGTAAACAATTAATCCACAATTGCATACCTCTGTTTATTCTCTTCTTCACTCTATAATTGCTTACTGTGAAAATTTCTTAGTGTTGTTCGATTGCAATATTTGCAATTCCGAATACCACGTACAAATTTAGCAATTTATTTATATTCATTTTCTTCAGTTTATAAATGTTTCTGATATAGTTTTAGGAGTTATCCCATTAAGCTTCTATGTCCACAACATTTGTGTACACATTATGCGGGGGACGCGCTGTGTATTAGTGGCTGAGGGCAGGGTATTTGTCTTACCTAGGAAGCCTCCACTGCTCTTCCATATTATGTTTGTATGTATGTACTTTGAACTAAATAAATTATTATCATTGAGAAAATCTATAGGAGCTGTGACGAGGATTCGAACCTATGCGCTGGGTATTTCCAGGCACACGCCCCAAACAACTAGGCCACAACATGGTCAAAAGGATTGCAACCTAGGGATTCTACTAAACCCACGAGGGTTTGTGAGGCTTCCACTGAAGACGAACCAGGGTTTCACACTATCCCCCCCCCCCACCCATGCACTTGGCTCTGTCGTCTAGGACTGTTCTACCTCTAACGCTCATCTTTTAATACACAGAGAGTAATCACACTAACGTGATGGATCAATGAGAAACCCGTAGGAGCCACGATGAGAATTCGAATCTTTTTTTCCTGGGTAATCAGTGCTATTTTCTGATTGGTTATGCCTACAAAGTATAGCAAATGGCTGTTATTCCCCCTCAAACGTTGCTCTGACCTGTGCCTCAGACAGCTTAGGAAAGTCGTCTTGAAGGTACCTGAAGACTGCCGACCTACGAGACAATGTGTCACAGCTCTAGATAAAGACTCGCCATCCTTCAAGACGTCTTCCTTAGCTGGTTACGGTAAAGGTTAGAGCAAAGTCTGAGGGAGGAATAACAGCCATTTTCCTTTTAGAGCCTTTTAGAGGCAAAAGCCACCAGAAAGTGACACTAACTGCCCAGGAACACAAATAATGTTACTACTGAATGTAGTCAATCTAATGAAGTATGAAGCAAGGGAGACAGGTCAGCCAGAAGGCGACCCTTGCGCCCTCCAGCGTCACCTGGTCTGAAGAGGACGATGGCCTTGAGGTATGCAAACTCGGCGGGGTCCACAGCCAAGTCCCTGAACGCTCCTGCTACTTCAGACAGCTGGCGGATGTCGTGGGCAGCCTGGGCAGCTTTATGGGCGTGGGCGAGGGCGTGGGCGTGGGCGGAGGGCGAGAGGAGAGGGCAGGTGGGCAGTGGGAGGGACCACTGGACAGCATTCAGCACGAATAGTTCAGACCACACTTCCTCCAGCAGCACCACCTGGTTTAACAAAAGTTGTGTTTAACATTTATTTCGTTGCGAGAACACATTAATACGAGTCTGTTCCACATAAAATGTACACAAAGGATTTAGAATTGATGATGTTACATTTGTAGAGTCGGAAGTACATACAGCTTATTGTCTTCTCTAAACAAAGATAAATGTCCTGACCAAATTTGTGTTTTCACACAGAAGTCAAACACAATCCCAAATATATACACATATAATTTAAAATAATAAATATGTCGAGGGACAGGCAGCCAGTGTATTAATAATTATACAGTATATTAATGCATATACAGTGTATATGTATACATATTAGGCTTTTATCGACGACCCCCCCCCCTCCCCCCACCCCAGGGTGGAACTACTGACCCTCCCCAGGAAGCAACTTCGCAACACGCTGACTCCTGGGTATATAGCAAAGCGTATTGTAACGGGGTTAATAATACCAATACCTTGACTACATCTCAGTTTGAACTAGGAAGTAGTCTTTATTTTCTCAATTGTGTGAAAATATTCAGCCAAATTCTTAACCCTGTATTTCCATTCGCGAGCCTTGAACTCTAGCATGACTCACATAGTCGTTACATCGCGTATTGGTAGTGATTATTCCTAATAACACATCAGAACCAGTCATTCTTGATTAGTATAAAAAAAAATAAGGTTGTGACGAGACTCTTGAGATTGATTGGTAAAGATCATGCTACAGATTCGTTACGGAACAAGCGGGACAATAGAACTATGGAGGGTAGGTGCTGATACGGGAGGATCCCTAGAGGCTAATATGCTACAACTGTACTGTGTGACGATCCTGTGCTCTGAGCACAGGGCGGCACTGGCTGGCTGGCGGTCAAGCTACGCACCTGGTCACGGAAGGGTAGGCTACTGAAGGAGGGGAGATTCTTGGCCCATTTGACAGCCATGAAAAGAAGTCTGGCCGCCGTCTCCTGCACCGACTCCTGCAACGGGTCCCACAGGGGCGCCGCATCCACGTACGAGGTCCCCGACGAGGACGAAGACGAACACGAGGAAACTGGGGGCATATGGGGGCCCATGGGTCCTGTGTCCTCGTTGCCGCCGCCCGTCACATCCACTGGCGAGTCCACACTACGAACTCCTGCTGGAGGACAAGGGGACGTTAACGGGCGTCTCCTCGTGCAGGAGAGAGGAAATAAATTAGCTATAATTCGAGGGATAACAAATGTGTTATCTCAACAGTAACAAGAAGGGATTTACAAATCGAGGCAGCAAGTTTACGTGACACAGAAAATATAGAACAATATTCCGGAACGACCTTACTCTGATGTATGGCAAGGTCGCGGACACTCTTCTTCAAGCTAAGTTAATCAATCACCTCAGGTTATTTAACCTAACTGAGCGTTTGTTATATATTTCCCACACGTGACGCGCCTATAATCAACCAGACTACACTGTCTCCTGTCTCACTGTGCGCCTGACAGTCTGTCTCTCTCTCACCGTGGTCGTGGTCCTCCTTGGACGGGGAGAGGGTTCTCTGCGCCCCCAGCAGCGTTCCCGCCATCCCACCGTTGGCGGCGCCACACATGTGGTTGATGGTAGATGGATTGTTGTTATTGTTGTTGGAGGAGGAGGAGGTGGGCGGGGGCGGTGGCGCGGAGGCGATGGAGGCGAGGGCGTGGTGGGCGTGGGCGGTGGTGAAGGGGGACGCACTACTGACAGAGGGAGGGCCCAGGAAGCCCCGCGACCCGCCCATGGCAGCCGTCACCAGCCCGGGCAGTGGTAGAGGCGGCCTGGCAATGATAAAAATAATATTATCTTTCCTATTTATGGACAGCCATGGAAAAAAAATATAATTGTCAAATGAATTTGTTTAAGCATAATAAGGTACTGCCATCCAGTATTATTTCCAAACTAATTAAATTGCGAATGAAAGATAATGCTTTTGTATTGTAAAAGATCATAATTTTTTTTTATTTTGTATTATTCTCAGGAACTTTGAATGTCTATTGTAACCCTTATTCACCAGTATTAAGTAATTTGCATTTGTTTAAACCTGGTTGTTAATTTAGGAAGCGTATATGACTGAGTGACATTCATAATGTCTCGTGACTGTGGCTCATTCCTGAGCTGCTCGATGATTTCCTGCCAAGATTTAATAGTTTGGCTCCATCAGTCGTGTTCGGCGTTGATGCTGCGCAGGACAAACACTTCTCCAGCATTGGATACAACGATTTATAGAGCGGAGAGAACTTGAAGCATAGCGTATGAACTTTTAAGTTTTCTGTATAACAAGTACACAAAACCAACTTTGTGTGTGAGCTTCTATGCGTACATTTTTACTGTCACTCATAACAATTTGGGAAACATTTTAGCAGCTTTAATGATTTATCAATAAATAACTCATCGGCACCAACATACGTCTGTGTTTACCACATTCTTTACAAAAGTGTTGAAAATAATTTGAAATTGGTTTGGTTGGACGTTGGATTTAATGCCTATCCACCTCTGGAGGGGTTTATTAAGGCCACCACAGCACCTTACTGACCACGGGAGACATCTCCCGTCACACAGGGTGCAGTCGCACCTCTACAGATCTCCAGTATCATCTACTGATACTGGTAATGGCTCAAAAGAGCCACCACTTACGGGCTATTCATGCCCGTGCCACCTTTTGGGTGGCTCAATCTTCATCAATCAATCAATCAATCACCTTACTGACCAGCCGGCATGCATACTTTAGTCCTAAACACAGTTCAGGTCAAGAGTACAAGAAATCCAAAGTTGATAATGTAAGAATCAACCACCCAGCTATTTCACTAACTACCAGTTGTTTGTTGATATAGAAAAAGCCTTCGGCTGTTCCAGTTGGCCATTGTGTTGATAATATTAATCTATATTTTTGAGCTTTAATTTGTTGATTATTGATATAAGATTGATGTTGATTGAATTGATTTAATTAAAAACTTTTATGGCAATATTTGAGTCCAAAGTCCTGACTCATGCCGACCAAAAGACTTGACTCATGCAATCCTTAGTGATCTAATTCATGAAGTCCAAGGACCTGCCTCATGCAGCCGGTGGACCTGCCTCATGCACCCCTCACTGGTCTAATTCATGAAGGCCAAAGACCTGACTCATGCACACCAAGGACCTGACTCATGCACACCGAGGACCTGACTCATGCACACCAAGGACCTGACTCATGCACACCAAGGACCTGACTCATGCACACCGAGGACCTGACTCATGCACACCAAGGACCTGACTCATGCACACCGAGGACCTGACTCATGCACACCAAGGACCTGACTCATGCACACCAAGGACCTGACTCATGCACACCAAGGACCTGACTCATGCACACCAAGGACCTGACTCATGCACACCAAGGACCTGACTCATGCACACCAAGGACCTGACTCATGCACACCGAGGACCTGACTCACGCACACCAAGGACCTGACTCACGCACACCAAGGACCTGACTCACGCACACCAAGGACCTGCCTCATGCACACCAAGGACCTGCCTCATGCACACCGAGGACCTGAATCATGCACACCAAGGACCTGCCTCATGCACACCAAGGACCTGCCTCATGCACACCGAGGACCTGACTCAGGTTAGTACCCACGTGAAGACGCCAACGGCTACGGCAGCCTCCCGAAGGAGCCTCTCCTGGTCCATGTCGGCGAAGGCTTCGGGGCGGATGGTGGCCGTGTTCCGGGGCTGTCGCTCGTTCTGCACCGCTGGTGGACCAACAGGGGGAACAGGGGTCGTTAACGGGCAAAGGGTTGAGGGATGCAACAGAAAGCCAGCCTCACTGGTGGCTCAACAGGGTGAACAATGATCATTAACGGGCAGAAAGAGGAAAGGGGTGCAACGGGAGACTAGTTCAACTGCTGGACAAACAGGGGGGAGGGAGGGTGGGAGACAAATGCCGTTAACGGGTAAAGGGAGTAAAAGAAATCCAGGCTATCAAACACCTTTTAGTCTAGCCTTATTTAGTCGTTCTCATCTCCTTCGTTGTGACCTCATCAGGTAAGGCAGGTGTTCATGCTTGCATATTTATACACATAAATCAATCAGAGCTTTAATATACCAATGTGCTTTAATATACTTACTATTCTCTCTCATCTCATTTTTTTTCTTGCAATGTACCCGTTATCATTTTATTAATTCTGCTAGAATTTACGTACTTAAAATTATCTGTTAGATTAAGGACCTGCCTGAAACGCTGCGCGTACTAGTGGCTTTACAAGATTGTAAACACTATGCTATGTATTCTCTCTAACCCAATGTACCTTCTTGTATATAAATAAATAATTAAATAAATAAATAAATAAATAAATAAATAAATAAATAAATAAATAAATAAATATTCTACCCGGTGATGATAAGTATTAATGATTTTTACACACACACACACACACACACACACACACACACACACACACACACACACACACACACACACACACACACACACACACACACACACACACACACACACACACACACACACACACACACACACACACACACACACACACACACACACACACACACACACACACACGCGCGCGTGTATCATGTAAATGCCGTCTCAACATTGCATAGAACAGGATTTCATCCAGGTAGCGCAAGCCACGAAGATGAGCTCCTTGCAACTGGCTCAAATATCAAAACTTTCAAAATATCAAGATCATTAAAATAGGCTAATAGAAATTTCCTAGTAACCTGCAAAATGACCCTCCCCCCAGACGAGGAAGATTGGTCCTATCAATAGATTCTCAGCAAGCACTTGGAAGACCATCCTAAATTCCCAATAGACTGTTCTTAGCACAACAAAAAAATATCCTTTGTGGAAAACCTCTTAGCAATTGGAAGAAAATCAATATACCAACGGTTATACCAAGTCTATATCTATACGTTTATGCCCAGTCTATACCTATATGTTTATGCCCAGTCTATACCTATATGTTTATGCCCAGTCTATACCTATACGTTTATACCAAAATATATACCAACGTTTATACCCTCGAAACACAAACCGAAACTGTCTCTATTTTCCGCTTGTTACAACTTGTAATAATGTTGTTACATCTTGGCTTAACGTGTTTATGACGTATTAAAACGTTGTTATAACTTGCTATATTGGTTGTTATAACTGGTTAGGAAGAGTTAAAACGTGTTCGAACGTTGTACCAACGTCGTAGTTTCGGTGTGTGTTTGGCGGGTACCCAGTCTACACCTTAATACCTCAATAGGAGGGCCACCCTTCGAACCAGAACCTGCCACAACCAGCAACAAAATCGAGAAAAATTCAGCTTACCATCCTTGTTCATTCCCATCTGGATGCACTTCTTGAGACGACAGGCCTGGCACTGGTTCCGGTGGGCCTTGTCCACCACACACGCTCCCGTTCCCGCCTGGCACCTGCCGGTAGGAGGAGGAGGGGGGGGGGACACAGCCCAGGTCAGAGGTCACGCAGAGAAGAGACTACTTAAGTCAAAATGAGACTGAGCTGTTCAACTATAGAGGTTATTGTAGATTTAATATAATTTGGCAGAACGACTGACAGACTTAAATAGCTGACTTGTCCAGATCACTTGAGGTCAAAGGTCAGCAGAGAAGGAACGGAATGGGACAGTGAAGGATTGAGTTGTCCAGGCCTGATTGGCATTGAGTGACAGAGACTGAGTTGTCCAGGCCTGATTGGTATTGAGGGACAGAGACTGAGTTGTCCAGGCCTGATTGGTATTGAGTGACAGAGACTGAGTTGTCCAGGCCTGATTGGTATTGAGGGACAAAGATTGGGGAATATACGGGCCTCAGCATCAAGAAGAGGCATCACAGAGCGAATTGGTGAGACAATTCCTCTGGAACTAAAATGTCTTTACCTAATATAACAATGACGCGAGCTTGCTGGTACAAGTGTTTTTGTCACAGAGTTTTTTTGTTGTGAAATTACTTAAATCTTCCTGTAAATGAGGTACTGTGTTAAACTTTAATACCATATGTAGCCGCACCTGTGAACAGACTCACGTGGGAGACAGTTTTTATGGACACAGGTGAAACCGCACCTTAATTTAATCAACAGAGGGAAATTTCCCATCAACCTTATTAGATTATACACAAGATTTTGATATTAATTACTTCCTATAATTGCATCTTGCAAATCTTCACCGTCTTGTGCTTCTTAATAGTTTTACTAACTACATATAGCAACACATAGAGCCAACATACGTGCAGGGTTTAACTAGTTGCACATGAGCATAATCTAACTATACCTGTATATTTAGCTCGCTATAGCGAACTAAATATACAGGTATAGAGAGAAACTCCATAGTCTCCTGAGACTGATGGATGCCTACTACTATAGCCTTACCTATGAAGGAACTCTCCAGCCTTACCTGTAGATAAGCTTGCGACGGACGGACCTCTTGAAGAACCCAGAGCACCCGTTGCAGGCCAGAATACCATAGTGTTTGCCGGAGGAAGTATCTCCACACACTAGACACTGCAGCCCAGGGGACACCCGCCGCCCGCCGCCCACGCCCAGGCCGCCCACGCTGCCTGCGAGGTGGGGTCAGAGGTCAAGAAGGCCAGGGAAACTAGGGGACAAGGGGACTGGAGGAAGGGGAAGTCAAGGGGGGAGTAACGAGGGAAAGACAGAGGTCAAAGGGGCCCAAAGGGATGGTGGAATGGATCGACAATGGTGTGAGGGGGAAAAGGGATGGTTAGGACAGGGGTCAGGGGGGGGAAAGGGAGGCCAAGGAGGTCATATGTCAGGAGGGAGGGGGGTATTGGAGATTAGTGAGGGGATTTATTCAAACATGGAGAGCGAGATGTCAGAGAGAGAGATGAGGGGTCGTGTGTGAAGGGAGATTAAAGGTCGGATATGAGGGAATTTCAGTGGTTATTTAAGATAAAAAGAAAGGGGCACCAAGAACAAGTGTCACAGAGACACGAGGGGAAACAGAGGGGTGGACAAAGACACCTTGCAAGGAGACACTCCACACAGAAGGAGGCGACGCCAGAGGCAAGTGGGTGAAGCGTGTCAGATAAACAAAACAAAATACCCATATATATATATATATATATATATATATATATATATATATATATATATATATATATATATATATATATATATATATATATATATATATATATATATATATATACATCTATTTATGAACAATATTATTAACTGACTGAATGTACTGCGAGCAGAAGTGATGAGAGTAACACCAGTGGATTTGTTCATTTGATGTATCACGCTATTGTGATTTCTGTGTGTAAAGAGCAGCACTATTCGCAGTTTCGGGGCGGCGGCAAGTAGTAGCGGAGTACCGGAACGTCGGGAGGAATATAAACGCACAAAAGGCTAATAACCCGGAGGCGGGGCCCAAGATCTAGATCCCCGTAGACACAGTTGGGTCTACACAGGTCTCGGGAGTTGGTTAAAGCTTCTCTGGCGATCATAACAGAGGGGGAATCACAACCCATTGGCTTCTTCACAACACAGACCATCACGGCCGTGTGTTCCTAGCGACCTGTTTAGTATAATCATAACTATAGGTTAACTATCGGTTATACTATCTTGTATCAGAAAGATAGGTTATTCTATTTAGTATAACCTCCCCTTGATAGTTATATCTTGTAGTGTAACTATAAGAAGCCGTAGACTCTATATTGTCAACGGCTTCTGCATAAATGACCATCTACCTATGTAAAAATAGGGCTATCCCCTTTTTTTCTATTCTATAGGGCTATTCTTCCCTAGTTAATACTACCCACCAACACTGTTAACAATGTCTACACTGCTTGAATTAAACAACCAGTCAACGGTGTGACGAGACCTGCTCAAGTTGGCCCACAAAGCAACACAGAGGAGTAAAAAATTATCCCGCTCCTCGAGCCACACGAAACGGAACACTAAATCACACTAAAATGAACTTTTAAACTAAAGGCCATTAAAGAATGGTTGGTCAGGGGGTACCTGCTACTGTGGCAGCTACCCTTACCAACCTGGGCTGGTGGAACACGAAGCCATAGATACAATGTTATCTTTCATAGATGTACATCGATCCACTTCGAGCTCGGTATCACATAATGCTATCGATTGGGAAATAATATATATAAACCTCTATATACCGGTTAATTATATTAAGAATATAGAAAACATTTGATCTTATTTTAATCGCTGCCATAAAATTACGTAATCTGGAGCCTCAGAAAGTTGGCATAGCAAGAATACAGAGAATATAAACAAAGGAAGACAAGCAACCCAAATATATGTTCATAAATAATTTCTCCTGGAAATATGAAACAAAAAATATATATATATATATATTTTAGCTGATACAACAGCGAAGCCTGCTGCCGGGCACTGTGTCCAGCTTGACTGTACTGACCCTTCACACACACACACACACACACACACACACACACACACACACACACACACACACACACACACACACACACACACACACACACACACACACACACACACACAGACAACATTCCACCCTATTCACACACGTAAAACACAGACAAGAGCTCACATAATCCCACACACAGACAAAAACATTATCAGACAGTAGATGACAAGGTAACCAGGTGGCAGAAGAAAGGTAGACGGAAGATAAGGTTGTGTAAGATGGATGAGCTGAGAAGGCAGACACACACCTACACTGACGGTGCCAAGGGTAGTGCCGCCCATGGTGACGCCCATGCCGCTAGAGGAGACGCAGACGGCGCTGGCCAAGCTGCTGGGACACCGCCCGCCCAAAGGAGAGAGCCGCCCACCCAGCACTCCGGCGCTCATCTGCTCGAAAAGAAGACTTGGTCATTGTGATGCTCAGGTCAGAGCTGACAAGAGCTCTCAATTACGTCTCCTACTCTCAATGTAACTGAGAGTAATTGAATGTAAACAATCTTATTTGAAGGTAAGCAAAGCCAACATTGCACAATATGTATCATTGAAAATATCGATAGGAGCCTTCGAATCACCGCTCACTTGCTATTTCCAAGTGAGCGGGTTTTTTTGTTGCCTCAAAGTCATCATTATTGAAGAAAGATGTACAGGTTTCGTTAGTGGCTGCGTAAATGCTTCATGACTCCTGGCTCTGGTTTGTGTGTGGCTTATACGTCATGTTGAATAATTGAAAATGAAAAATTCATTTTTCAGGTATTAGTATTTCTATTAAATTCTTATAAATCATCATTAACGATTAGAAACTTTCGTGAATGATTAGAAACTTTCGTGAATGATTAGAAACTTTTTAAATTTATTTGACATTATTTTAATTGTTCAAAAACAATCAGGAACAATTTCGAAACAGTTTTAAATTATCAAATAATTAACTAGTTTGTTGAGAAACGCTAAAATATTGAAAAACATTTAGGACTCATGACTCACCTGGTGTAGCCTCATGACTCACTTGGTGTAGCCTCATGACTCACTTTGTGTAGCCTCATGACTCACTTGGTGTAGCCTCATGACTCACTTGGTGTAGCCTCATGACTCACCTGGTGTAGCCTCGTTACTCACTTGGTGTAGCCTCATGACTCACTTGGTGTAGCCTCATGACTCACCTGGTGTAGCCTCGTGACTCACTTGGTGTAGCCTCATGACTCACTTGGTGTAGCCTCATGACTCACCTGGTGTAGCCTCATGACTCACTTGGTGTAGCCTCATGACTCACCTGGTGTAGCCTCATGACTCACTTGGTGTAGCCTCATGACTCACCTGGTGTAGCCTCATGACTCACCTGATGGTGATGCATGGAGAGGGAGGGCGGCGGGAAGGGCGAGGGCGTGATCATGGGGGCGGCGTGGGCGGCGGGGGGCGTGATGGAGGGTGAACGCTGATGGGGCGACCCCACCGGACTGCTGGCGCTGCTGCTGCTGCAGGAGTCCCGCGGGGAGCGTATGAAGTCCTCCACTCCTGTTGGGGGAGAGGCAGGAGACACTAGGTCATGCTAGGCACACACACGCGTACTCACCTAGTTGTGTACTCAACTACTAGGTGAGTACACACACACACACGTTCACTTCAGCACAATGAAGTGTGTCAAAGAAAACATGTGTATGGGACAAGTAACCAATTCCTCATGTTCACAGACGTTGCCAGAGGTGGGATAAGACGTGGCTGCGGGGTCTCTCTGGCAGTTTGGCTTGTATAGGGGGTCCTAGATGAAGTAAAGTGTAAAGTGTGTGCAACAGATTACCTAGCAGTAAAATAGGTACCTGGGTGTTAGTCAGCTGTCACGGGCTGCTTCCTGGGGGGGTGGAGGCCTGGTCGAGGACCGGGCCGCGGGGACACTAAAAAGCCCCGAAATCATCTCAAGATAATCTCAAGAAGATAACCAACACAGGGACACACACACTACACCACTACATCTTATACTGTCATAAAACTGAACAAGAGATAAATCTAAACTCACGTTGAATGAAATGAATTTGAATGAATGAATGATTTCGGGGCTTAGTCTACCCAAGGCAGCCAAGGTCTCTTCACGAGTCTGCTTTGAAGAAGCTGTGAGCCACCCCCGGACAAACTCTGTTGAGAGTGTAATAGCCTGCCTGAGGCGTGGCAGTGTCGGGAATCACCTTATCCGGGGCTGGCTGGTGGAAGAGACTAGCTACTGTGGTGCTTAATGAGGAGAGTGATCAGCGGGTCACACGAGGCTCCTGCCAAGGGCTCGCAACCCTTGTATTAGTTGTGGAGTGGCCTGACAGCGAGGCTGACCGGTACCTGCCAGCTACAGGCTGGATTGTGGTTGAAGGCCATCACGACGGGGCACCCAGTGGGACTGTGATTTGGCTGGCCTGTGGCCAGGGTAGATTCGTCGTAGAATTATCGTGGATTCATCGTGAGCCACGGAAGCAGAGACCAGGGCTACCCAGAAGAAGCATCGCCGAGTGTTGAGCGTCTTCAGAGAGGGAGACCTCATTGTACATTGTGTAGTAATAATTCCCTTTTATGACTTTAAATTACGGTGGTGGGAATATATATATATATAAATTAGAATACTTGTCTTCAATGTACCTTCCTTGATAGCTTTGACTTGCATTACGGAACACACCCCTTGAAAGCCTCTACTAACTTGGGGCCGGATTCCCAAACTCTACTACCATCAGAGAAGAACCCGGTTGCGTCCCAGTAGGGCCGTAACATCCATCTTATTACTAAGGAAAACAAATTCTGAAATCCTTTCACTGTATCCATGTAATTTATTTACCGGAAGCGTAACATGTGAGATCAAAGAACAAGCAGTGCAGTGTAAAGATTATTAATAATAAACAACAGCTTTCCTATAAGCCTGTAATAACTCCATAGCTAAAACGGGCAAGTATTAGCAAAAAGACTCACCATTAATGTATAATGTTCAATTGTAAATACATAGCTACTGAAATGGAACAATTTTACGGACAGTATAATTAAAAGGTGTGCAGGATAAATGTAATTGTGAATGTAATAATATCCGTTGAGATCTGATAAAGACCTTATATGCTGTCTGTAATCCTTTTTGGCGCTACAGCTCACAGGATGAGTACGGGGTGCACAATAAACTAGCCGCCTCCGGTGGCAACAATCAAATCAAGTGGAAGCTGGAAACAAATGAGTCAAAGAACTATGGGGAAATATTCGTCCCCTGTACAGACAGTCAACAAGTGAAATGCAGTGAGAAGAAGAAGTTGTGGAAGCCACCTCCATCCACAACTTTAATGCCAGATTCCTCAAAGAATTCGAACGTCAGAAAGTTAAATTACATCGCAAGAGGTACAACAAGGCTGGTAGATGAGGCATAGAGCGCTAGACCTCACTTTCCCGAACTTACTGATAGGTAAGTATTAATAGGCAAGCATCATCACACTCACCACCACCACCACCAGCCCTACCAGCACCCCCACTACAACCCCTGCCACCCTACCCCCCACCAGCACCCCCACTACAACCCCTGCCACCCTACCCCCCACCACCACCACCACCACCACCACCACCACCCCCACCACCACCCCCACCAGCACCTCCACTACGACCCTTGCCACCCTACCCCCCACCAGCACCCCCACTACGACCCCTGCCACCCTACCCCCCACCAGCACCCCACTACAACCCCCCCCACCCCCCACCACCACCCCCACCACCACCCCCACCACCACCCCACTACAACCCCCCCCCCCCCACCCCCCACCCCCGCTAGGCCTCGGCTGCCGCTCTAACATAAGTCACATTTTTGCCGAGCGTTAAGATTCGATAAGATTTTCCCCACGGCTTGACTAATCACCAAAAATTACCGCTTAGTGTCGGGGTGCCGTAAGGGTGAGCGTGCGGCACGATAGCGGGGGCGGAGCGACGCTATCGAGGACGGGAATCAATCTGTATATCAGTTGGGTAATCCTCATGCGGTGATCATGTCCCGGGATTGACCGCAACTGACCCGTTTATATCACCGGCTGCCTCTCCTTTCTTGCCCTCTCTCGCCATTGGTTATCTTTACTCTAAATTATCAATATTAATATTATTATTCTTGAGAAAATCCACAGGAGCCGTGATGAGGATTCGAACCTATGCGCTGGGTGTTCCCAAATGCACGCGATGGTCGACTACGTCATGACATGGTAAAAAGAATTGTAACCTGTCTGTGTCTGAGTTTTCTCATTGATGTATCGTGATAATGTGATTTATCTGTGTATTATTATTATTATTATTATTATGCATCTGGAAATATATACAAAGAGTTAGCAGGACAGAGTAGCTAATTACATTGCCATAGACACAATAAGGCTGGTAGACAGGCATAATGCAAGACCTCCCTTCCCCATAGTCACTGATATGACTACGCTCACACACACACACACACATACACACACACACACACATACACACACACACACACACACACACACACACACAGACACACACACACACACACACACACACACACACACACACACACACACACACACACACATACAAGGTCCTCACAAGACATAACTATGTGATTGGTTTAGGCTGCTCGAGTGCCGTTCTTGGCCCAGAAATCGTGGCTTGTGTGGCTTCAGCCCTCGCCCTCTTCAGTCACCCATTCCCTCGTGTCTCTCTCTCTCTGTCTTACACCTCCTTTGCTCCTCTGTTCCTTCTGCACCCCAACTCCACTTCTCCAAGCCTCCTCCACCCACATCCCTTCCATTCTCCGCCTTACATCTTTTCTCCCTTTCCATCTATACTCCTTCCCTTCACCACCAACCCTCCTTCCCATCCACCCTTAATCCCACCCTCCGTGAGCGTAAATCCTGCCATGGGGTACCCCATGGCGGCCAGTAATCGCCAGTAATCCGTTGTAAGCCCCTCAGGAACACATCAAAGGATTAATCCAGGATAACATGTTAACTACGTTGCCTTGTTAATGTGGCGTTGTTGGAGGTGGTGGTAGTGATGTGGGTGGTAGTGTGGGTGGTGGTGGTGGTAGTGGTGGTGGTGGTGGTGGTAGGGTAGGTTGTGGCATACTTATCACTGTCAATGTAGTGAGGTTCTGGCTCCCCGCCTTCTAGCCTTATACTTGTTGCGTTTCGGTTTAAGTATTCTTACTTTCACATTCTTGGTTCAATCGGGCTTTACAGTTGTGGATGGAGGTGGCTTCCACAACTTCTTCTTCAGGGAATTCCACTGCTGGCCACCGGTACAGGTGGCCAGTACCAGTATCAGCTAATGATACTGGTAATGGTTCCAAAGTGCCACCACTTACGGGCTATTCATGCCCGTGCCACCTTTTGGGTGGCTTAATCTTCATCAATCAATCGCTCGTATACGGCATTGGGATTGTTCACTTGCCTGAGTAACACCCTGAAGGCTGTCTGGACGTTGGTCTCGGGCTTCAGGTGTCGTCTGCCTGATGGCAGCTCTCAGGTCAAACCCCCCCCCCCCCCCATCCTTTGCTGACAGAGGCAATTAATTTGAAATTGAAATTGAAATTGAAATAAATTTATCGAGGTATAAATACACACAAAGGGATGAGGTAGCTCAAGCTATTCTCACCCCTGTTCAGTACATCGTGTTAATACATACATATACACACATCACAAACAATAAACATATTACCAAACATTCTGAGAGATAAACATATACATTTCCTGAGGCAATTAATTTTTTTTTTTTTTTTTTTTTGAGATATATACAAGAGTTGTTACATTCTTGTACAGCCACTAGTACGCATAGCGTTTCGGGCAGGTCCCTGGAATACGATCCCCTGCCGCGAAGAATCGTTTTTTCATCCAAGTACACATTTTACTGTTGCGTTAAACAGAGGCTACAGTTAAGGATTTGCGCCCAGTAAATCCTCCCCGGCCAGGATACGAACCCATGACATAGCGCTCGCGGAACGCCAGGCGAGTGTCTTACCACTACACCACGGAGACTGTTAAATTGACTTTCATTCTGTACTACGTGTGGCGTCTTTTGTTTATTTCTCTCAACTCTGCGTTTGTCCGAGTTAATGTCCAGTAACTATCTTTCAGACCTCCTAAAGAGGGCCTAGTTCATCTTACAAGTGCGTATAGGTTGAAGACGTATATAAAACAAAAAAATAATATTTCAATTTGGTTTTATGCTTCACAAGGTGTTGATTGCAGGAGCTGCATATTCCATTACTGGTCTAACATATGTTGTGTAGATTGCCTCAAGGAGTCTTAGTTTAGGTTTCTAAACGGTGTTCTAATGTATGTAAGCGAAATGTACGTCATATGGGAATATGACGGACATATTACAAAATATTATAACTTTTGCGTGTTCTGTTAATCAGATCACTTCACCTGTAGGTTCTTCAGCACTTGTACTAAAATTATACGTATAAAGTAAGCCATTAAAGGGAAAACTAAACTAAACTTAAAACGCCCAGAAGAACATTGAACGAAAATGTACCCAGAGTTAGAAAACAGTGGCAGAATATGAACCAAAGAAAACGAAATAAAACAAAGCAGATTTAAGGAACACTAAACTAAAAACTTTCTGGCTAAAATTTCTCCCAAAGAAAGCAAAATAAAGCTGAGGAAACGAAACAAAGAAAACGGGACGAAAGCGAACCAAAGAAAACGAGACAAAACGGTTCACAAAGAAAGTGGGAAGCCCTTGGCAACTCATCACCAGGAGCTTTGATGCAATTACGGTTTTGACAGAGTCATCTCAGGGAGTAATTCAATCTGTCCCGCGCTCTCTCCTGCGTCTCCCTCTCTATTTTATTTTCCTTTCTCATCTTCATTCTGTCGCTTTCTGCCTATCTTACGGATGAAGGTTCTGTGAATGTGCTTTCATTGTTTATCATCTAATTCTTTCTTTTACACTATTGTTCTACTTCATTTCCATTTTTATTCCAAACTCTTTCATGTTATTTTCTATATTTTATCTGCCACTCAATTATATCATTCTTTTTCTCCTCTTCCTCTGTATCTCCTCTTTCACACGTGTCCAAAACCCGGCTCCTTCCTCGCTCTTTTCCTTGCACTTCTTCTCTTCTTTCTTTTACATTTCCTCACTTCTCTCTCACTACAGAGTCGCCATAGTCCTTTCTTCACAACATACCCGTTAGTCCCACCCTCACAGTACAGCTGCGGCCCCCTTCCTCACAGTACAGCTGCGGCCCCCTTCCTCACAGCACAGCTGCGGCCCCCTTCCTCACAGCACAGCTGCCTACAGCCCCTCCCTCACAGCACAGCTGCCTACAGTTCCTCCCTCACACCACAGCTGCCTACAGTCTCTCCCTCACACCACAGCTGCCTACAGTCTCTCCCTCACACCACAGCTGCCTACAGCCCCTCCCTCACACCACAGCTGCATACAGTCCCTCCCTCACAGCACAGCTGCATACAGTCCCTCCCTCACACCACAGCTACATACAGTCCCTCCCTCACACCACAGTTATTAGTCCTTTCCTCACAATTCGGCTGCCATTACCACCACCGCACCACCAGGTCTTTACATTAAAATCACCGCGGAGACCAGCGTTATGAGATGAAAGCCCAGAAGAAACAATGGATGACATTGTAGTTACTGTAGAAGAGGTGAGAAAACACC